CCTGACTGGGAGCTGTAGTTACTTTGTTGACTGAGAAGGCTGTTAATAAATAAGGGTGCCTCCTACTTCTAGTGTCTCCGAGTGAGTCACTCCACAATCATGCCAAAAGACAGATGGGCATGTAGCTCGATGCGTCCCTCCTGGTAAGCAGTGTAAGGGCTTAATATAGGCACTCACTCCAGATAGCTGCCTCAATACTGTTTTAGGGTTGCCAGGGAAATCTTTGTTTGAATGCACACGTGCATGTGCCAGGCATGATGTATGTGCTTACTTCATAATTTCTGCATACTGCAATGTGTGCATTCTTCATACTGCCATTCGCACTGCAGCAACTCATTTAAACTATTAAATTTCCCAAAGTCGATTATTTCCTATCACATCTTAATAGGACCATAAAAGTGACATTTTGGGTCTATTAACAGCAAGGCCGTAGCCATGGAGTCAACATTGGGGCGGACCAAATCTTCCAGGCAGTCTAGGGGTCCCCACAGAAAAAAATAAATTTGAAAACTAATTTCCTGCCTAAAATATTTAAAAATTCACTAACACATAGGATGGACTTTTATTTACAATCATGTCTAATAGTGCATTGTATTACATTGCTCTGTTTTTTTCTTTTTTTACCTTTTCTTGTTTCATTGTATGTAATGGCAGAGATTAGGGAATAATAAAGTACAACTATAATCACAATCATATAAGCAGAAATCTATGTATTGTTATATGAAGACAAGTCCAGATATTGTGGCCAAAGTTTAGCAAATTGTTGTTTTTATTAACATACATAGCAATTTAAAAAAAATGTTTATAGCAATATATGGGGGGGGACATTTTGAGCATATTTAAATATTGGGGGTGTGTCCCCCCCCAATATATATTATAATTACGGCCTTGATTAACAGCCTTTGTTTAGATTGTGTAAATGTACTGTATTACAGACTGGTTGTTTCCACCGGCCACCCACAACCCACCATGTACCGCGTGATGTGTGCCGACTCACACAGCCTCTTGTAACAATAACAAAACATCTCAACACATTCGTCATTAGAGAGGCCAGAGAGATACATCCATGCTACTGTGAACTCTTTCGCCTCTCTATGTTCTGTCAATAAGCGTCATTGTCCAAAATGTCACCTGTTATATACTTCTTTTCAAGGCAGTGGAATTGACAATGTGCCGAGTTTTTTTGTGCGTGTGCACCACTGCCAACGCAAGCGTCATCAAAATGCTTTGTCTAACAAAATAGTAGTTCATATTCTTAGCTCTTTCGGTAAAGTCACGTTGAAGGGAAACAATAAAATATATAAAACAATAAACATTCTCACGACGTTTCGACCTGCATAAATGTATTTATTTGTTTTATATATTTTATTATTTTATTGTTTCCCTTCAACGTGACTTTACCGAAAGAACTAAGAATATGAATTACTGCAGTCACGAAAGCTTTAAATCAAAATTTAGTCCATCTATGTTCTAAAAAGAGGAGGGGGGAGACGAAAAATTAATGTATGCTGTCTGAAAGCCACTGTAAGCGTGAACAATCAATTAAGACCTGAAATGGTGTATCAAATCTTTCCAATGATTGCTAAGCCAGAATCCATATTCTCGGTTGAAATTGTCTCTGTGCTTGTATACGTGGATAGCCTCATGAACGAATCTCTCATGGTAGCCAGATGGCTTACAAAGAACCTCTGTCTTGGAAAAGTCAATGTCATATGAGCCTACTGAACTATAACAATGATCTGCCATGGCCGAGGTGTTGGTCCTACCGTGTTTAAGGTCTGCTTTGTGTTCACGAATGCGGTCCGAGACATGGCGTTTGGTTTCTCCAATGTAACTACTACCACAGAGGCAACTCAGTTTGTAGACACCAGGGTATTGTATGTCCGGAATCACATCTTTTACAGACGGAACCAGATCACGAATTTTATGTAATGTGTTGAAACGGACCTGGATCTTGTGTTTATTCCAGATTTTGGAGATCTTTTTTGTGAACCCCGCAATGTAGGGTAAAGTGATGGTTTTGAAAGGCTCCTCAAGAGGGTCCTTCTTCATGGTTTGAGTGATAGCTTTGCGGATTGTATAGTCGGAGTAACCATTAGCATTAAAAGCTTGGTGTACGTGCTTGAGTTCACTGCCTATGTGTTCCTGGTCGGATATGCATTGGGGTCTATGATACAATTTTTCGTCTCCCCCCTCCTCTTTTCAGAACATAGATGGACTAGTCCTTCTAAATAAACTGTCAAATCGCTGCGCGTGGCGCTGACGTTTTTTATAAATAAATACACCGTTAAAAAATAAATAAATTTATGCAAACCGACACACCTGATGACGACCGTTTGTGTTATGGTCGAAACGTCGTGAGAATTTTTATTGTTTTATATATATTTTATTATTTTATTGTTTCCCTTCAACGTGACTTTACCGAAAGAGCTAAGAATATGAATTACTGCAGTCACGAAAGCTTTAAATAAAAAATAGTAGTTGTTGGCTTTACACAAAGAATTATTTGTTCTTGAAGTGTGCAACTGTGCACGTTTTAATTCCACCATTTGTTCTACCCTCTTCTGTACCTACTCGATCTGTTTATTCTTTGTCTGGTAAAACCTGCAGTAAAAAAATAAATAGCAGTACTTTAAGCCACAGGGACCCCAGCATGTTTCACACCCACGCCACTGTCATGCTGTTGGGTATGGCATTTCATAATAGATGCGAGGAGCAAAAAATGTATGAGCTATATACAGTAATACATACATTAGGTGTGCCGTGTCAGTGTAAATGCAACACTTAAGCAGAATGTTTTTTTATTGTACATTTCATGCAAATTAAGCAGCATCAGTAAGGTAAAAAAATTCAGAAAATGCCTCAAAAACTGAGCTTAAGGCAGGGTGGGAGTGCTTCATCAGTGGACAAAATTGCTCAAGTATATTAAAGATCATATTCGTGTGAAATAATTAGTTGCTGCAGTTTTATCAATGGAGAATAAAGCATTGCATATTTATCTATGCATATGAGTCCCTTTCGTATCTTAAGCATATATAATGCCGTGTTATGGCAGCCTATTAAACTATTAATTACTCTCACACGGAGCTAACCCAATTTCCACATGTCTGCCACCTGGGTTCCAGTCTACCCCATACCCAGTGGCCCATTTCCCAAGATGCCTGTCCCCTTTGTTCTATCGTTTGAATTCGCTCTTCAGCGATTCATCTCCACAATCACATCAGCCATGCCTATGACCAACTCACAAGGCATGTGCCAGACACGAGTGTAACAGAACCCATTGTTGTACCCTACTACGCTCCCACGTCTATGATCCCCAACTTCCACAACCCTCACTGACTACCTTGGTTAAGTCGTCTCAATCAACACCCACTAACCACATGGCGAAAATAAATCCTCATTCATCAATGGATTGACAAATGAGCTGAACATGTTAAATGTATAGCAGATACATATTGTACATTTGATCCACGTGGCCAATGGATGATTATATGAGCTCCAATAAAGCAAGCATATAACCTGAAAGAAGCTGTCTCTCTGTATACTTTAATGACGTTTAAAATCGTATTTTCCTCACCTTTACGCAACGGATGGATTTGTATTTCCTTCAGCACGGTAATTACTTTACTGCATTAAGTGCTTTTATCTGTTGACTTTATGACGACAAAGTACTAATTGCTATGGGATGCTGCTGTTTTGGGTAGCGGTACACAAATTACATAAAATAACACATTCGTCAATAATACTGTGTTGTGGTCTTCAAAGGAATCTTCTGTATCCTAGGGTTCGTTTCAGGCAATGGCCCTTCTTCAAAGCACATGTACGAAACTTCACAAACGTTGCGTTTAACGCTTAAACGTGGCGATGATTGAATGCAATGGACAACTCTACACATGAATAAAATACAATACGTCAACGATTCATAGCACTCCATACAATAACGAGCTGGCTGAGGGGGAGACATGGAATGCGTTTTAACTTTCCAGCCAACACATTTGTCAAGTTTCCCGCATTCGCCAAAGACGATTGCTAGTTTTGGACGTGTAAATTAAAATAATGTATACATTACGTGATAATACATGGAGTATGTTTAGCTGCTGGCTGGCGACGAATCAATCTTACGCAGAGTCATCCTCTGACAATGTTAAGTTTAAGTTACGTTCAAAGTTCGGATAAATTAAGAGAATCCCCCTCACTTTCATTCCGGTTGTGTGTAAAGTTAAGAGAATTCAGATAATTGCAGAATCCCCGTTCGTTACATTGAAAGTTACGAAGCGCATAATGGGAAACGTCCTCACAGTTTACGATTAAACTTAGGATAAATTGAGGATTATTTCCTCACTCATGATTCGTTACGTTTTAGCGTTAAGCGAATGGTAAGATTTATTGAAGTAAATCCTGTCACTCACATTTCGTCACGTCTACGACTTTGCGATAATTAGAATTCCCTCACTCGCATGGCGTTATGTTTAAAGTTAAGGGAAATCTCCCTTAATATTTAACGTCAGAGAAGTGCAGAGACCCATCACTCACACCGTTACATTTCAAGTTAAAGAAACAAATCTCCTGAACATCAACGATTAAACCCAAGACCAATTTTAAGATAATGTCGTTACGTTTAAAGTTAAGATAAATCTCAGTTAATATTCAAATTCAGAGAATCGAAGAGACCCAATGACACATTTGAGGCGATCTGTCTGGAGATTTGTCAACAATCAAACCCAAGACAAATTTTAAGATGATTCCCTCACTCACATGTCGTTACGTTTAAAGTTAAGATAAATCTGAGTAAATATTTAACTTCAGAGAATCCAATATACCCAATCACACATTTCAGGAGATTCGTCAAACGCTCAAACCCCAAGACAAATTTTAAGAAAATCCTCTCACTCAACACGTCATTACGTTTCAATATTAAAAAAAAAACAAAAAATCTCCTCAGCGTTAACTTAAGAGCATTTAATGTAGAGGTGTAAGAGGCGGCGAGCCCCGCCACTGACCTGTCGGCGGCCGCCCTGGTCCCCTGGCCCCCCCGGCGCCTCGCGCCGCCCGCTCCGCCCGGGTCCCTGGCGAGCAGCAGCAGCCCCAGCAGCGAGACGGCGCACGCCGTCAGCAGATTCGTCCGCATGCGCATGGCGAACATTCATCTCCAACCGCGCGAGAAGACAACTTAAGGACTATTATTTGTATTCTTCGTTTAACGCAACGTTCAGAAAGTCTCTCGGCTCGTCCATTGTTGTGAATAACGGGTACCTACGGCGTTCGCGCCCCGCTATTGTGTGTGTGTGGTTTTTTTCTTGCGTTTGCTATTTTTATTTAGGCATGCCGCGCGAGCTACAACAACGCAGTCAGTGGTCGCAGGCAAAGGCTTGCACCGAGCAAATGACTTCCTCGACGTTTGCACAACGCGTCGTCAGCTTCTCGTGATGCTGGTGTGGGATTCTGCTGCTGCTGCTGCCGGGGTTCTTTGTACTCGGCGGTTTGCATAGCCAACGCGCGTGAGAGCGCGGGAAAAAAAAGGCGGGAACGGAGGAGCTCGGCCGGCTCGCGCGCGCGCGCGTGCAACGCTCGCGCCGGGTGCTATAACCGGCGCGCGCGCGCGCGCGGGCACGAGAGGGCGGGGGGAGTTGGACGCGGTGGGGGGCGGGCAAGCCGGGAGGGGGGGGGTCTCCGCGATTTTTGTTCGCAGCTGATTGGTTCGCCTGCAGGCGGTGGGCGGGGGAACTTATGCAAATGAGAGTATGAGGCGACGCAACCAGCTGTGGCCGAGGGTCTCGGACACGTGCACGCCGCGCGCTGCATGAAGCGGTCCCCTTTGTCAATTCGTCGATGCCTAAAATTCAATGAAGGCGTTGACGCTAATCTGTTACAACTTTGAGAGTTTTTTTTTTGCTGGACGTTTGACGTTTTGTTCCTTAGAACTCATAGGTGCGTTTTAAAGGTTCTTTTTAATTATCCACTGCTGGATGACGGCCTCTCCCCCCCCCCCATGCAAGTGCATGTCATGATGGTCAATGTGACCATACTTCACCACGTTGGTCAGTGCGAGTTGGTGGAGGCGGCCAGCAGAGACGTGGGGGCACAGATAGAGTTCAATAGATGTCGCTGTACTGCCCTCTGCTGACCACTACGTTTTCCCGCAAGCCTACACCAACCTATTCTTGGTTCTTCCGGTAAAGTCACGTAGAAGGGAAACAATAAAATAATAAAAATATAAAACAATACTATTCTCACGACGTTTCGACTGCAACACAAGCCATCATCATCAGGTGTGAAAACCACAGCAAGAAAATTTGAAAAAAAGTGGCAGTGACTTTACCGAAAGAACCAAGAATATGAATCGCTGCAGTCACGAAAGCTTTAAATCGAAATCTACACCAACCTGTTTTGTATGGTGGCCCATCCAACAACTAGCCAGGGTCAACTCTACTTAGCGTCCTAAATCTGAGTGGCGGGTGTTTTGGTGACAGGCAGAACCATGGACATTGACAGAGGAAGGAAACTGCGTCTGAAAGTTACGGAGAAGCACGCATGCCTGATTACTGATCGCATACACTGAGGAGACAGAAAATACTGTGACTAAGTTGTGGAACAGACGACTCAAACGAGAAACCGTTTTGACTCGCCAAAAGTGGTGCTTGCGGGGCAAGACGTCGTGACTTGAAGAAGGACTGACGTTCCGATGGACGAGGCTGTTCACATCACGCCCGTGAGGGTCGACCACAGGTGTGGAGATGGAGCCACGACACCAGCTCGCGCGCCGGAGTGAGATAGCATTGTTGGTGGTCGCACGGGATGGCAATTGCCTGGGGGAGGCCTTCGTCCAAGTAACTCTCTGCCCCTACTGGAACATCTGTGAAAAAAAGAGCTTTATAGCTCTTCGGATTCCTGCAGTGTAAATACCGATCGTGAAACTGGCGTGGCCACGCGTGCCCGTGGGGTTAGCACCGCCCCCGGCGTGCGCCCCGGGGTGTGTCGCGCGGCGACGCCTTGCCACGAGGTCGGCGTCAACGCGAGCCGCCAGTGCCTCCTCGCGGCGAAATTAGCCATCGCGGTCCTTCGGGGGGACAGTGTCGTTTGTTCGCAGTTTGAGGACAAGCGGAGATCCTTAGCGACAACAACAAAAAACACAAGCAGACAATACGCCTTCCTGTCCATAGTTGTGTCCTCCACAGAGAAGACAAGTGTTTTTTGAGCACGTGCCATCAGCCACACGAGCCTTCTGGGGGTGATTTTTGCTCGGTTTAATACGGTAATATGATGGCAGCTGGGACGTTTAAATACTATCCTAATGTGGTGAGATAATGATGGAAAGCAGCGTACATTGTCCGTTTATTTATGTTATTTATATTCTCAACAGGGGCACAAATGATCGCGTGTGTGTTCAGGAGATACATGAAAGGACAGTTAACATGACCGTGATGGTTATTTTGTACCATTCACTAACTTTAGGACTAATTCATTCACCTTTAAAAATGCAGCCGTAAGTGTGGAGTGGTGGCGCAGTGGTTAGCGCAATGCCCTATGAACCCAGGCACATGAGTTGTGTTTATGATCGTGGTGAACATCACTGGTAAGTACACTCTCACGGACCAGCATTGGTAAAAAAAAAACCCGCGTGACTGAGAGGATGGGATGAGGCCTTCATCAAGCAGTGGATGACCAAGTCTGCAAACTTTTACAGATATACATTTTCAAGTACTGTATTTTACCTGGGACTTGTGTGTACAGACATAGAGTGAGGGTAAAAAGTATTTGATCCCCCGCTGATTTTGTACGTGTGCCCACTGACAAAGAAATGATCAGTCTATAATTTTAATGGTAGGTTTATTTGAACAGTGAGAGATAGAATAACAACAACAAAATCCAGAAAAACGCATGTCAAAAATGTTATAAATTGATTTGCATTTTAATGAGGGAAATAAGTATTTGACCCCTCTGCAAAACATGACTTAGTACTTGGTGGCAAAACCCTTGTTGGCAATCACAGAGGTCAGACGTTTCTTGTAGTTGGCCACCAAGTTTGCACACATGTCAGGAGGGATTTTGTCGCACTCTTTGCAGATATTCTTCAAGTCATTAAGGTTTCGAGGCTGACGTTTGGCAACTCTAACCTTCAGCTCCCTCCACAGATTTTCTATGGGATTAAGGTCTGGAGACTGGCTAGGCCACTCTAGGACCTTAATGTGCTTCTTCTTGAGTCACACCTTTCCTCCTCCAAACACGGCGAGTTGAGTTGATGCCAAAGAGCTCCATTTTTGTCTCATCTGACCACAACACTTTCACCCAGTTGTTCTCTGAATCATTCAGATGTTCATTGGCAAACTTCAGACGGGCATGTATATGTGCTTTCTTGAGCAGGGGGACCTTGCAGGCGCTGCAGGATTTCAGTCCTTCACGGCGTAGTGTGTTACCAATTGTTTTCTTGGTGACTATGGTCCCAGCTGCCTTGAGATCATTGACAAGATCCTCCCGTGTAGTTCTGGGTTGATTCCTCACCGTTCTCATGATCATTGCAACTCCACGAGGTGAGATCTTGCATGGAGCCCCAGGCCGAGGGAGATTGACAGTTCTTTTGTGTTTCTTCCATTTGCGAATAATCGCACCAACTGTTGTCACCTTCTCACCAAGCTGCTTGGAAATGGTCTTGTAGCCCATTCCAGTCTTGTGTAGGTCTACAATCTTGTCTCTGACATCCTTGGAGAGCTCTTTGGTCTTGGCCATGGTGGAGAGTTTGGAATCTGATTGATTGCTTCTGTGGACAGGTGTCTTTTATACAGGTAACAAGCTGAGATTAGGAGCACTCCCTTTAAGAGTGTGCTCCTAATCTCAGCTCGTTACCTGTATAAAAGACACCTGGGAGCCAGAAATCTTTCTGATTGAGAGGGGGTCAAATACTTATTTCCCTCATTAAAATGCAAATCAATTTATAACATCTTTGACATGCGTTTTTCTGGATTTTGTTGTTGTTATTCTGTCTCTCACTGTTCAAATAAACCTACCATTAAAATTATAGACTTATCATTTATTTGTCAGTGGGCAAACGTACAAAATCAGCAGGGGATCCAATACTTTTTTCCCTCACTGTACAGGTGTGAGTGTCTCCAAGGTGCCCAGTGCGAGTTGGAAGCCACCGCATAGAAAAATATGAAGGAGGATAAAGCAAAGACTTTGTGACTTTCGCACATTCTCTTGGGGGTGCCGCTGTGGTTGCAACCACGTGTTTAAACGCACCGCAGTGACGTCATTGGAGTGTTCCTGAAATTCGCTACGAGATCGATGTATTTGCATTGACGACGCATCGAGTCGCGTTTGACGGGCCTGGACACACAGCCTCGGTCGAGTTTCTTCCGCCCTCACCAAGCACTGCCTTGCAACAGAAGCAGGGAATAAGAAGCAGAGATGGCAAGCGAACGAGTTTGATAGTGGCGGTGGGAGGGGGCGAGGTGACCTCCCCCCCACCCCCGATGCCCCGAAAATCGGCATTTTAGTGATATTCAGCAGAGAAGGTGCGTTTCATGTTTTTTTTCACTACAATTAAATTAATGTAGGGCGTGATGAATGTTTTTTTTTACTAACACGTAGTTGGGTTTCGCGACAAATACGATTATGCATATTTTTTTTTTTTAACCAGAACGCGTAAGTAAAAAAAATGTGTGTCGTAAAACCCTCTTCCACGCTTGGTCATCACGTGACGACTTCATGAGTTGGCTGTGTGACGTGGAGCAGCGTGCACGACGCGTCACGTTCTACTCACGCGCTCTGACCCCACAATTCAATGATGAATCCCTATTTTAAACTTGTGGGACTGCCAACCCCAAGCTCTCCCCTCCCCCCTCCTTTGTAACGGTTCTAGGTCCACCTCTGGACCGTAGGCAATGTGGCCGTCTTGCGGACGAGGTGTGAGACCCCACACGGTTGACGAGGGTGGATGAGCTCGGGGGTGGATGGATAGTGTCCCTTGAATTAAAAAAAACCCTCGCGAGCAGAAACGAGGGATTTGCTGTACGTCAGAGACGCCACTCTCCTTGTTCGGTCGATGTAACACCGCGGTTCACGAACAAAAACGATCGCAAAGCCATTGGTTTGAAAAAGGCACGTTTATACAACACTAAAAATGGGACACATCAACTCAGGGCCACACAGAAAGAGGAGAGGGAGGCCGGGGGGGCATGGATGTCGAACGAAATAAAACCGCATTTCTGCGCGGATCAGAACTGGAGTCACAGTCTGGGAGTACGTCCTCGGGATTATCTCCCCCGCCACGGCATTTCCATAATTTGAAGTCAACTCGAGTTCTTCACCCGCTGGCCTGTACTTGCACTTGAAAGGAGTTCAACACACACATACATTTCCAACTATCAGAATTCGTACCGAGTCGAAAATAGCACGACCAAGCATGTCAGCAACAAGAATGTTGTAGGCAGCTGGAACATTTAATGGTATGCATTTAAAGTCATCAATGTGGTCGTGGCATTTGACTCACAAGTATTTCCGATCAAGTCTCGCTCGGAATTATTTCCGGAAAAGGTCTCGCCGTTGAGTAACTCGGAACACTCGTGGAAAATTCCACCAAACTTCTCCTTTGACTCTAGTTCAGG